CGATTCCTGTTGCGACTTCGTCTTCTACAATTTATGCACTCCAGGTGTTTGGTGCATGTTCTCAAAGATATTTCTACCAAATTATAGAAGTCTTTCCAGCAACAATGGTAACTGCTTCTCAATTATAGCTCATTCAATCACCGATAACTGCTTTGGTTTCATCGATTTCCACAATTGTGAATGTTAAACTAGATGATTCGAACTATCTAAATTGGCATTTTCAAATGAAATTACTGCTTGAAAATAATGGAATCCTAGGGTTTGTTGATGGCTCGTATCACTGTCCTGCTTGATTCATCTCTCAGTCTGGAGAATATGATATAAATTCATCAAATTCATCGTCATGATGAGTATTTAGTTTGGATGATGCATGATAAAACCTTGATGCAATTACTCACTGCATCTTTAAGTCCTGTGGCAATGTCATGTGCTATTGGGAGTACTAGTTCTAGGGATCTTTGGATTCAATTACAAGAACAATTTTCAACTGTCTCTAAGACCAACATTTTTCAAATGAATTTGAATCTGCAAACAATAAAAAAGGCTCTAATTCTATCACTCAGTACTTGCAAAAGATAAAGGAAGCTAGAGATTATCTTTCTGCTGCTAGGGTTTACTTTCTTGATGAAAACATTGTTATACTTGCATTAAATGGTTTACCAGCATAGTATAATACATTTCGGACTGTGATAAGGGGGTGTGAAAATGTCATTTCTTTGAAGGAATTTCGAACACAACTGCTTGCTGAAGAAGCCATTCTTGAGTCCATTGTTAATGCACCGTTTATGACAGCCATGATTGCCAATATTCCAACTTAGAGAGGGTCTAATCAATCTAGCTTTGTCTCTAATGGATTCAATCAGTTTAATGCCAATATGAACAAAGGCAAAGGCATATTTAATCAACATCCAAGAAGTTTTTCACCTAGACAGTACATGCCTACACAAACACATGTCATTCAAACTCTAAGTCCTAGTAAACTTGGTCAATTTTCAAATTCACAGCAGCGTATTCCTTTTGCCCCACTTGAGAAGCCAAGATGTCAAATATGTGGGAGATTCAATCATAACACTTGGTTTTGTTTCTACAATGAGAAGGGTCCTAATTATATTGGTGCTAGAGCTAATTCGACTTACTTCCCGATGTCTTCATATTCACAACAAGGATATCAATACTCTCCAGTTGATGCCTATCCACAACAAGGGGTTCGATCAAAGTTCATTGGACAATAGTTTCAATCACAGGCTCCATTGCATGCCTACTATACTATGGTATCACAACCAAATCCTTCACATGCTTCTCCATCTACTTCACAAGTGTGGATCGCGGATTCAGGCACAACAAATCATATGACTACATATCTCTCAAACTTATCTATGGCTTCTCTTTATCCCACCAATGAAGTCATTTAGACTGCAAATGGTGAAGGTTTGCATGTATCACACATTGGTAACACTGTTATCAAGCCCTCCATACATCCTATCAAACTGAATTCTGTATTATATGTACCCTAATTATCACAGAATCTTTTATCAATGCATAAAATTTGCTTGGACAATAGCTGTTGGCTTATATTTGATGCCTTCTGTTTTTGGATCCAGGACAAGGCCATAGAAATGATACTCTACAAAGGACCGCGCAGTAATGGACTTTACTCAACCTCTTCCCTTGCCAATGCTTGTCCTGCAGCTTCTTAAGGCATGGTTTCCAATAAATCTTTTTTTGGTCAGCTTGTTAACTCCATTACCTAGCACAATAGACTAGGACATCGTTCTAATTCTATTGTGTCTCTCATGCTGCATAAATTCAATATTACATTTACTAAAAATTCTAGTTCTATAATGTGTCAAAGCTGTCTAGAGGGTAAATTTTGCAAACTTCCCTTTTCACCAAGTGTCAATAAATCTGTCATTCCTTTTGAAGTCGTGCACATTGATCTTTGGGGTCCTGCACCTTGTGTATCTGTGGATAGATATAGGTATTATGTTACCTTAATTGATGAATGTACCAAGTATCCTTAGATCTTCCTTTTGATCAATAAATTAGACCTTTGTGCTACTTTTATTGGTTTCTATGCTTATGTTCTCACTAAATTTTCTACAACAATAAGAATATTGCAAAGTGATGGTGGTGGTGAGTACATAAGTAAATCCTTTCAGTCATTTCTTCTACAAAAAGGCATCTCACATAAAAAATCCTGCCCTTACACTCTAGAACAAAATGGCATGGCTAAACGAAAACACAGACATGTCATTGAAACCTCAGTTACGCTACTCCAAACAGCTTAAATGCCTCATAAGTTTTGGTCTTTTGCATGTCAAACAACCATTTACCTTATTAATAGGATGCCTACTCCCATTTTATCCAATAAATCTCCATTTGAAGACCTGTATGGTGCAATTCCAATGATTCAACATTTAAGAACTTTTGGATGTGCTTGTTACCCTCTTCTCAGACCATATAACACTACCAAACTTCAACCCAAGATAACAAAATCTATATTTTTGGGTTATGCATCCAGATATAAGAGGTTCATTTGTTATGCAGTTTCTCAGCACAAGTTCTTATTTCTAGGCATGTTGTGTTCAGTGAACAAGAATTCCCTTACAAAGATTTATTAGCACATACCAATCCCACATCATCATGTTCTGTGAATTTTGATGTTCAACCTTCTCCCCCTATAGTTACATCTCAAAATGTAGTCACTATACTACCCCAAGACACTAATACAAATTCAATACCTTTTTCACTGTCTCCTTCTCCAAGTCATCACTCCAGTCATCATCTGTTGCATTTTCTCCACACATATCTCTATCACCATCACTATTCTTAGATACACAGCAGCTTCCTCAGTCCATTACTGGTGCAGTTTTTGATAATCATATCCCTGTGGTACTTGACCATAGTCCTGATACACTTCAAGTGGTTTATTCCATACCACCACTCAATCTTCATCCTATGCAAATTAGAAGTGAGAGCGGTATCAGTAAGAAAAAGGTGTTTTTTATCCATACTTGCTACTTCTAAGGATGCTGATCTGTCTCTTTGTGAACCATCAGCATACAAATCAGCTCTTAAGAGTTCAGTTTGGTTTCAAGCCATGTAGGAGTAAATTAGTGCATTACATTATCAAGGTACATGGAGTTTGGTTCCATTACCAGTTAATAAGAACCTAGTGGGGTGCAAATGGGTTTTCAAAACAAGGAGACATTCAGATGGGTCGCCAGATTGGTTGCTAAAGGATTTAGTCAAGAACCTGGTATTGATTATAGTGACACTTTTAGTCCTGTTCTTAAACCCACCACAGTGAGGATTGTTCTAGAACTTGCTGCATATTTCAATTGGTCCCTTAGGCAACTTGATGTCAAGAATACCTTGCTACATGACATTCTCCAAGAGGAAATGTACATGGCTTAGCCACCTGGCTTTGAAGATCCACATAATCCCTTATTAGTGTGTAAATTGCACAAATCTCTTTATGGATTGAAGCAAGCCCCAAGGGCATGAAATGATAGGTTTACTACTTTTCTGCCTAAATTGGGATTTCATAACACTTACTCTAATTCTTCCTTATTTGTGAAAACTGTTGGATCCAATATTGTGATATTATTGTTATATGTTAATGATATCATCATCACATGGAGTGTAACCACTGAGATACAACAAGTGATCACTGATTTAACTTTTGAATTTGATATCAAGGACTTAGGTTTTCTTCACTTCTTTTTGGGGATTCAGATTTCTAAGACTACCAATGGCTTGTTTCTGTCACAACAAAAGTATGTCCATGAGTTACTTGTTAAAATAGAAATGATTGAATCCAAGGCATGTTATACACCATGCCTCCCCTACAACATGTTACTAAAGGATGATGGTGAGCCCCATTCTAATCCAACATTATATAGAAGTGTGGTTGGTGCCTTATAGTATCTTACATTCACAAGGCCCGATATTGCCTTTTTGTGCATCAAGTGTGCCAGTTCATGCAGAATCCCATGGTTTCTCATTTCATTGCAATAAAGAGAATTTTGAGATATTTGAAAGGAACCATGGATGTTGGTGTTTCTTACTCACGAGGAGATTTGGCATTACATGCTTTTAGTGATGCAGATTGGGTAAATGATCCTAATGATCGACGCTCTACATTTGGATTGGTTATGTTCTTAGGGAATAACCCCATTTCCTGGTCTTCCAAGAAGCAACAAACCGTATCAAGATCCTCAACTAAGGTTGAGTATCGAGCTTTGTCTTCTTCAGCAGCAGAGCTTGACTGGATTCAACAAATTCTTGTTTTTCTTCAATTTCCCATATATGCACCTCTTGTGCTGTTTTGTGATAACCTTTTAGCTATAGCACTGTCCTTCAATCCAGTACAACATCAACGGACCAAACACATCAAGGTTGATGTGCATTTTGTTCGGGAAAGAGTAGCCATAAACAAGCTTCTGGTGCAGTTTGTGTCTTCAAATGAGCAGTTTGCTGATATTTTAACCAAATGACTCAGTGCTCCATTGTTTTGTGTTCATTGAACCAATCTCATGCTTGGATCTTCCAAGCATGCGATTAAGGGAGGATGATAGAGATAGGTTATGTGGTTGAGATTATGCCACTTGTATGAAGATTAGAGAGTCAATTAGTTAGTTAGGTTGTTAGAAGTATTAAGAAGTGTATAAATACTATTGAATGTACTTGCTTAATTGTTAAGAAATTAATACGTTGAAGTTTTCCGTTCTTTACTTCTCTCTCTAAAGCCTCTCGAGTTCTCTCTCTCTCACTACATTTCTGAAGGTTAAAAGAAATGGCCGAACCGGATCGTGCGCACCCTTACGTTTGCAATTTGACTGTTATGATGAAAAAAAAGATTAATTAAAAGGAAAGCATCAATCAACGGTGTCATGCCCAACACGTGGCAGGCGCGCCGTCTTTATCAACCTGGTTTCTTAACTATCAAATCTTCCTTCCTTTAAAACATTCTGCTAATTTAGTTACTTTTTGAGCTTGTTCATTTGTCAGTAATGAAGAAATAAAAGGTTGAATAATTCAGAATGGAAAAAAAAATTAAAGAAATTGAGTTTACACCTTCCTTAGTTAATTTGACATTTTCATTACGGATTTTAGATGGGGAAGTAGTAGTCATGGATGGAACCTAAAACAAACGAGACCTTTATTCCTTCTCCCTCTCCTCCCTCTCTCTCTCTCTCTCTCTCTCTCTGAAGACTGCAACTCGCAGCGAGCTGACATGGGTGGCGATGGCGGAGGTGAGTTATCAGCTTATCCATAAGCCATATATGGCTTTTTCACATGTGATTTGGGTAAGTAAAGTTAATAACCGACTATTTCTCTAATGGTAAAAATACAGTTACTGGGGAACAAGAAGAAGACTCCTCACTCAGCGAAGATTCCTCCCAACTCTCATCACAACTTCTAAGGTACCTCATGGATTCCCACACTCCCATTAGTTCTCTCGTTTTCTTACTTCCTGTTTCGTTCCTGAGAAAATATGATGAAACAGAAATGATCAAAATTGGTTTTGAACTATAGGACTAGATTCTCGGAAATCATTTTTCAGTTTCTTGTTTGTAGCGTTATGAACGCGAAAACAGAAACTGGGTTTGTAGAAGTCTGATCAAATTTATGTCTGTTTGTGAAAGTTTGAAACTTTAAAGTGGGTTCTGGTTTTTCAATGGGGCAGAAATGGTGTGAGCATGAATATGGAGGATGATGCAGTGGATGAACAAACTGGGCCGGGTTTTCGAAAATTTTGCGGAGTGGGAAGTCAAATTTCTTCCGCTTCTTTGGATTTTGAAGCCGATCAGAGGATGGAAAATGTTTATAGGAAGATTTTGCAGAGTTATGATGACTTGCGGATTCGAAGCAAAGATTTGGAAGAAGCCAAGAGCAAAATCTTGAGGTACAATATTTGTTTAGTACGAGACCTTTCGATTTAAGATTTATGTGCGTATCAGAACGATTCCAGTACTTCGCAAGATGTTTTGTCCTGAAATTCCTCGGGCTATACGCATGTTATTTGTAATGTGTGTCAAAGATACGCTCTTTTTCTATTTGTGGTCAGTATGGTTGAACAGTAACTCGTTGAGATTGATGTAGAATTTTCAGAAATTAAGGCCTTTTTTTGGTATCATTTTAGGACTTAACGATATAGGTAATCTTCTGTGTTTAGGACTTTTTATTGTTTATATTGGCTATATTGGTTATGTGGTTGCTTGAAGTGATGTGGTCTCATGGATTTAACAGCTACACCCCCGGTGCGTGGATTGATAGAGTAGGTGCTGTGAAACCGAGGGACTATGATGTGCCAAATACAACAACACTTTTATTGGTTGGTCCAAAAGGATCTGGAAAGAGCAGTCTTGTAAATAGAATCTCGAAGGTGTTTGAAGATGACAAGTTTGCCTCGGAAAGAGCCCAAGTATCATGTATGGCTTCAGTTGTGAATCATGAAAGACGCTTATTTGAAAATGAACTTAGTTATGTATGTTCCACAGCTTAACCTGGATTGTTTCATTGTGCCAGATAATTCATCTCTTGGAGATGGAACCTTTTTCCTGCATGAATATATGATGCCAAGATGTTCGAGTTCTTTTTGCCTTTATGATACTCGTAGTTTGTCTGATAATTCACCTGAAAACATAAAAATACTGAAGCATTGGATGGAACATGGTGTTCGTCATGGGGAGCTTGTTGTCAGGTCTGCATTTCCAAGTCTGTACATCCGTCTCATTTTGGCTTTACGAATTTGTTTACTTTCGTTCACTTAAATTGATCTCAATTGACTCTCAGGGATTCAGACAGTCCAAGTTTGAGGAACACAATGATGTACAAAGATCGTGATGATGGTTATCTGTCCAGTGAGATCAAGAACGTTAATTTTGTCATATTTGTTGTTAATGGCCTTTCAGTTCTGAAATCAATGGAAAGCAATGAAGATGCAGAGACACAATATACTGAAATGATCGCCTCAGCTTTCAAATCTCGATACTTGGCATTTAAAGGTATTTGGATATTGAGGTTTTATGACTCTTTATTTCAATAGTCGAAGGGAAGTGTTGGAAGATTGAATTTAAGGTGTTTAGTCACTACCTCTCCATTTTTTCTTCCAGATGATAAACCCCTTCTTGTTGTTACACATGGTGATTTACTTTCACTTGATGAACGTGCTCATGTTCGTGTCCATTTGGGAGAACTGCTTGGTATTCCTCCTACAACTCAAATTTTTGACATCCCAGGTGACCCTTGAAGTTATCCTCTTCTCCGTTATGGTTTTCATATTAATTAGTTTTTAGAAAGTTTGATGTTTCTCTTTGTGCTAGTAGAAAGCAGTGATGCAGTAACTCAGTTGACAATAGTTGACATGATACGCTATTCGCTTGAGCATGCCGAGAAAAATCTTCCTCGTAAAAGAAAGGTCAGTACTTTTGCAAACACTGATGGAATCTGTCATCTGTGTGCTGTCATCTTTCCCAAATCTTTCCAGTACCTTGTTGGTTTGCTGATTGTGGTTAATTACATGCAGGTCGAAACTTTCTCACTGTTATCATGTATGCTCCTGCTAATATTCCTCAGCATTGCCATAACGATCATGTATGCTCCTGCTAATATTCTTCAGCACGGCTACTGCCCTTGGCCTCAAGCGCATATTCAACATTGCCATGTCCCTTCACCGCAAGCACACATTCACAATAACCCCTCACCGCCTTCATCCACTTCGCTCGAAGAGCATATTCAGCGTGATCCTTCGGCGGAAGAGCATATCGACAATAGCCCCTTGCCGAGAGTAGAACTTCGTAATAGTAAAACGAAACTTCAGAATATCCGGATCGACTGGAGTAAAATCCGACACTTGTGGTTAGACGACAGGATCGAATGGAGTAAAATCCGACACTTGTGGTTAGACGAATAAGTTAATTTGTTTCAGTGTCTTATACTTCACTCCTACACGGTATAATCACGTTGTTCCGACACTTCTGTGTATATGCGCCTGTTAAGTGCTCATGTTTATATGGTTTTGTAATTTATTTTCACTTTCAATCTGTTTCGCTTGCAGCGAACGCCCTTGTTGATAATGTTGTTCATTCTCTGTATTGTATTAAGATTACTCAAAGTTCTATTTACGCGTATTTTCCGAAGATTCATACACTCAAAATACATTTGCTCCAAGTAGTAATGGTGTTTCTGTTGATGAGTAAATAGAATCAATCTGAAAAACTGTTGAACGTATTATTCGTATTCAGCATTCTTCCTTCGTATTCCAGAAAAGGAACAAGCACAAAAAAGCACCGAGAAAACATAATCTTTGAAACAACGACAGGCCTTGGAATCTTGCAAGGGCTTATGCTACAGACGGTAGAAGAAGATAAAAGACCAAAACTTTGGAGTCCTCGAATCAAAACTTCAACACCCGCCAACACCAAAAATGGGCAAGACTACCGAGATTTGCTCGGTGGACATCCTTGATCTTCAACTTATCACGGTCAAGCTGGTACGATGGCTAATCAAATGCCTCGCAAAGAAATAGCGTGAGAAAAATAGATATCTTCATAAAATTTGTTGATGAACTAGGATCATCGTCCTGAAACGGTGGTGTTTGGAATGCTCTGCATAAACTTGGCTCTTGCAGCAGGGTCAGTTGAAAATCGACCCAGTACAGCAATTGTTGCTGTACTGCTTCCAAACTTCTCGATTCCTCTAGAGATCATACAGGTGTGGCTAGCCTCCACAACCACAATCACATCTCCACCTAACAGTGGTGATATCATCTCTGCTATCTGTCGTGTGAGTCTTTCTTGCACTTGGAGCTTAAAGCCGTAAAAACACACGATCGATTGCAAAAGAGATTTTCCAATGGGATTGGATCCTTCGGTGCACATAAATCCTATATGTACAACACCGTAGAAAGGAAGTAGATGATGCTCACACTGTGACCAGAATGACAAGTTCAGCTCGGAATGGATGTGCTTTCCCTTGAAGCTATCTCCATTGTCAGAAACAAAGCCATTCAGCTTCATATTGAAGTTACTATTTTGGAAGTTCATCAACCACTTCACAAAACGAGCAGGTGTTCCTACAAGCTCCTTCCTTAATGGGTCTTCACCCAGCGACCTAAGAATTGAAGCTACCGCAGTGACCATTCCCGGATTGACAGATTCCATCTTGAAGGTAGCAATTGCACCTACAGAAGATCGAGATGGACACCAATGGTGATCACTAGTGTCTGTCACGCAAGTTTTCTCCACATTTATGCCTCTGAATCTCAGCAGACTCCAAAAATCAGCCCAAATATTGGCATTTTCATTTTCAAAGACTCCTGAACCTGAGCTGACCAGTAACTCTACCCATCCTTGGTGGTTCGAGTCAAGAAAAACTGATTCCAGATTTGGGAAATGGACGTGCAAACATTGGAGTACGACTGCAACACCTGCTGGTTTGATTCCATGCTGCAAAGCTGAACACACTTCATCCGCTAGACGCTGGGGATCTTGGAGACGTTTTGCAAACACATCAGCTACTCGAGAGAGCTTGCTTAAGCCTACAACCCGTTGACCAGAAGGGACATAACCCACATGACATTTAACCTGGAACGGTAGCATACAAGATTCACAATACGAGAAGAGGTCAAGATCTCGAACGACTACAAGTCCACCAGCTCCTCCAGCATGACCAACTGCATTGTCCAGACCAGCTTCAGGAAATAAAGCACCTTGCACAATGTCCTTAACCTTTTGTCTGTAACCTGGGAAATAATTAAGGTTTCCGAATCAGTACTTGGGATAGCTTCACTTTTAAGTGAATATTTTAAAAGAAATCAGCACCACCAATATCATCCATATCATATTAAAAGCAGGTGAATGAATCAGGAAACATGCTTCATGCTGCATAAAGAATCAATCTGAAACGGCAATTGGGAACAACTTCTTAACTTGGAGATAACACACACGCACACACATACATATATGCCAACGAAGAACTTAGCCTCATAAAGAGTTAGAGCACAATTCCTCACCCATAACAACCTAGAAACAGAAGCAATTCTAGATGTTTTTGGTAGCCATGATGGATAAACTTAGACTACGGGTATAGAGAAAAAAAGATGATTAAAAGGAATAAAAAATAGGAGGGAAAATAAGCTCAGCATCTAGCTTCCAATAAATTACAGAGTTAGCATTCCAAAAGAAAAGTCTTATGTTTTTGAAGTTCCAAAAGAAGATGATCCGTGTACTGCAAGTCCGAAAAATGCATACAATTGCCATCCTGAAATCTGAGGTCAGAGTTTTCGAGGTCAATAAGTTGCGGAAGGCGGCTGCAAGCAGGAAGCATTTTGTATCGTTGCTAACAATTTCCAGAATAAGGTTAATCCAGGAACTTGATCCATGGGAATAGTGTCAAAAGCTTGAAACAGTTAACACACAACGTCAAAAGTTAAGTAAAACCACTTCCTACCAATATAGGCCCACCATGATTGCAATGACAGCCGTTTTCGTGACAGGATCCTCTTTCATATGGAGTCCCAATACTTGGAACACGACTAGTTTGGTACTAACATGAAAATTCCACATTATTGAACAAAGATTGACAACTAAATCCAAATGCTACGAACTACCCAAAACCCTCAACAATTCAAAGGTACTACAAAAACTAATGAAAGAACGAAAATTCAGAACAATGGCCCACACAATAACACAACAAAAATCAGAAAATCTAAGACGGGAAAAAACAACTTAAATAAAAGAACTGAACAAAAGTTTAAAAATCGTCTTTGTCAAACAAAAGTTAGGAGAGTAATTACCCCTTGTTCCTTCTCTGAGGGCCTTCGCAACCCGAAAAGGCGTCTTCTTCAAGCCTTCTCTGTTAACATCCTCCCCCAAGCCCTGCATGAGAACTTTGACAGCATCCTCAATAGCTATGGTTTCGGGTTCTTCCTCGAAACTCAGCTCAATGCAACCCAGCTTCACTCCATTCTCAAGCTCCGAGCAGAAATGCCCCTCATCCAAAGCGCCCATTGACAGACCTCCAAATCCAAAAACAGCACCGACCCAGATCCCAAATTCCAAATCCCCAAAACACAAAGCGAAATCAATCGAAATTGAAGGTGCCCAGATGAAGAAAATAAAAATCAAATCTTTCAAAAAAGCAGCGATGAATCAATGAAAACACTCAAAACGAGAGCTACCCAGATGGACCAAAGAGAGAAAAACCAATAATCCGAGGTACCCAGATGAAGAAATTAACAAAAAGTCAAACTATTGAGTTCAAAAACAAGGATAGAGAAGCAGAAAAAACAGAGAGGAGTGGAGGTATAAAGGGAGGATGCTAAAGGCTTAAGGGGATGGGAGAAGGAAACGTAGGGCTGGGTCTTATGTAGGAATGTGTGGATCTTCGTCTCTGAGGATTTGGGAATCTCTCATCAGAATGTGGGACCCGACCCAATTGCCCACATGAGGGGAGAAGAGAGAGGGGCTGTGATTTGGGGTTTGGGGCTCTCTGTTTTTTTGTACGGGACCGAAGGACCTGGGTCGGTTCGGTTGTGTCTGCTCAGTTCTCTTCTGTCAATGCAGATATATATGTGTATATATAGGCCATAAAGAGAGAGAGATAGGTGTGTGATTAGAACATTTGACGCTCATACAAGTCAGAGCACCAAAAGCAAAGAACGCAGATACGGTGTTTGCCTATTGGCCTATTGGTATGGAATAGTACCTTTCACCAACCCACCACCACCAAAGAAGACATTACCACTCCCACCAACCGCAGATCTCGGATCTCTACTTTGGTTTTTGCTCTTTCGTGTTTATATACAAATAGAAAACAAACATGTTAATTAATATTTAAATAATAATTTAATATCAACAACCATATTATTTGGTTTAAAAATTTTGGTTTTCATAGTATTATTTTTCTTGTATTCTATATGACGTTTGTACTCTATTTTTATTTAACACGAGAAGTTTTTTAGCACGACCATAAGTCAGCATTATGGTGTTACTAATTTATATATTTTATGATTAATATAGTAACTTACCACCACCTAACGATAGTTTTAGTTTTCATTATCTTAAGAAGAAAAACATAGCTATGAGACGAGAGAGAGAAAAAAATATAAACAATATACAGTATGGTGCACAAAAATTTCTCTCGTTAGAGCAACTCCACCATTGGAGCCCTTACCCCTGGCAATCCACTATTGAATCCACCATATTGAACAGTAACTGCCTTTAATGAATAGTAACTACCATTAATGAACAGTAATTACATTTTGCATCTCCACCCTTGGAGCCCCCCTAGCAATAGGTAATAAAATAGTAGTTTTTTTGTTTGTTTAAATAATATAAAATATAAAAAAAAACTGGGAAATGGGGCTGTAGGGCCTCGGGCTGACACAAAAAACAATAAAAAAATGCCTTGGCCCTCGGGCTGCAGGCCTGTCAACTCTCCACCCCCCTTGTGCTCGGGCTCCCACCCTCACTCGGGCCCTCCATGGCTGGAGAAGAATCAACCGGCCCTCGGGCCCCTTCCTGCAGCCCGTCCCCCGAGCAAAGTAGAAGGCTGGAGTTGCTCTTAGTGTTTCAACGATGGCAATGGCAATGGCAATGACAATGTCAAATTTTTTTTTTTTCTTTTGGTGGATAGCAATTTATGCATATACAATTTATTCTATTTTTTTCTTCTGATAAGATATTGGTGGTTGGCAAAGGTTTTATTTGTATGCATACTTTATTCTAGAGGATCTAAGAGAAAGATGTAAAGTATATAAAGTTGATATTAGTGGTTGCCAAAGGTTTTAATGTTGATGGGTGTCGCAAGGGGAATGCCAACTTCATTGGGGTTGGTGGTGTTCTCAGAAATTTGTCGAGGGCATGGATTTCTGGTTTTTTGTGTTAATCTTGGTTGAGGTAAAATTCTATGTGTTGAAGTTTGGGGTGTTCTTATTGAGCTACAACTTGCATGAAATAATGGAATTAAGAAGATTATGGTATAATCGAATTCTGCTCTTACGGTTCAATTGATTTCAAATGCAAAAGTGATAATCATCTTCTGGGAAGTTTAGTATTGAGTTATTGTGCCCTTATGCACCAAAGTTGGTCTTGTAAAATTCATAATATCTATCATGAAAAGAATTTTGTTGATGATTTGGCTCGTTTGGATTTGTCATGCAGTTTGGATCAAGTGTTTTTTGAACAAGCTCCTCCTTCTTATCATCGGTTGCTAATTACAGATATAGATAGAGTCTTGTGGCCTCGTGGTATTCTATTGTAATCTTCCTTTTTTTTTCTTCAGGCCCATGCCCCGTTGTCAAGCAAAAAAAAGTATATAAAGATTATTTTAAAGGGTCAAAAAAAATTATCTTTCACTATTTGGACTAAGCAATGGATGGATGCATCTAACTCGAAATCAATTCTCAATGGCTGGAAATGTCCAAGATTTTTCAACATTTAAGTTAGACTTTTATCCTTCAACATGAGATATTTAGTTATGTTAGACTAGCGGATTCATGACACTATTTTTTTCACACAATTTCAAAACTTGATACTAGATATTTGGTTATGTTTGACCAAAAAGATATATGTTTTTTTTTTGTAGTGTCACGGATTCACCCCCATATGATATATACATATATATTTTCAAGTTCAAATACTTCTCCAATAAAAAAATAAAAAGAATAATAAGGGAGATTAATATACATGTGACATAAATATTATTGTGATTTACCATGGTCCTCTCAAATCCACTTCTTTCATTGACGAGTCGGGTGAACTCTTAGGTTCACTAATCCGACTGTAAAGCGAACTACAATATGTTTAGATGAGGATATATAAATAGAAATGAAATTAAAACAAATTAGTTAGAAAGGAATTACAAAACATTATAAAAATGAAATCGCACTACAAAACATTACGAAGACGGAACTGAAATGAGTTATTTGTGAATCTCTTTCAATGCACTACATTTCTAACTAACTCAGTCTAAGTCCTGTGGCATTTGCAAATCCCTCCATAGATTCATGGATATTATATGGAATCCCTGTATCTCAATTATTTCAAGTGACTTGGGTCAAAGAATAAAAATGATGATGGATGAATAGTACCTTACTTTGTTAGAGCATTTCCAACAAACTAAATGACATAATTGACATAAACTGCCGTAAAGCCAGTACTACAAACAAACTATCCACAAATCACTTTTAGATTTTTCTAGAAGTAATCTTAAACAAACTCATAGTCTGACACATATGGAAATAGCTTTTATCATGAACGTAAAATTTATGCATACAGTTCAAACTCTTGTTTATATGCAACAAAAAATGTTTCCAGTAAAAAGTTGCCTATTTTCCAAAAGTATATTCTATTTTGTCATATCTTATTGGTTATCAAAGTTTTTTTTGTCTTTTTTTTTCACCAAATTTTTTTGTTGTTATTTTGAAAGCAATGCCACATTTTAAAAAGTATGGTATGGTACTGAATTTAAGAGGTAAATGCAAAGTGTATAAAGTTAATTCTATCCTTTAGTGGTTGTCAGAGATTTCATAAAATGTTAAATATGGTATGATCTTGGCACAAGAGTGATGGGCTCGTTTGGATGTGTTTTTAAAATAATTGAAAGCGCTTTTAGAGAAAATGTTTTTTGGTTCCAAAAGCACTTAAAGTGTTTTCTGCAAGAAACACCAGTTATGTGCTTTTTTCAAGAAGCACTTTAAGTGCTTTTTTCATAATTTACTTGCATTTTTACTAAGGATTGGTTCCAAAAACATTTTCACCATAAACGCTTTCAGTTATTTTTAAAACACATTCAAACGAGATGGCATAACATTTATATTTTATTATGATTAATTAGCACTATTATTAAGAAATCACGGATGTTTAAAGAATCTCATATGTTTAGCAACTGAAATTTGGTCATGTGATATTTATCTCATCAATGCTGAAAGAAGTGTTAAGTTCGAAGTCTTTTCGTAGAATATCTCTTAACTATTTTTGAAGTAACTGAGGTTGAATATCAAAGATAGTAATGATTATTAACCTTACCAACCGAATCTCCCCATCGTACTCCAATTTCAAATGGGGTTCGTGCTTTTTCTTATGAGAGCGATATTGTGTAGGAAGAGTCATTTGCAACCTTGAAATTTGCAACCTTGAATGCACGATAAACACATATAGATTATAGAGTGAGACGTTCAACCCTATATACGACTCTTCACATGTCTTTTGTTAGTGGTTAGGACTTCACAATGACTATGTTTGAATGAGAGAAATAAACTTGAAATTTTGATAAAAATCAGATTTATAAATTGACATGCGCTAATTCCTTTGTTTGGATTCATAAACATAGAAACTTAGAATTTCCACGTGGATAAAAAAACTTGAAATTTGAGACCTCCAATTCCTAAGTTTAAATTTAATGTAAATAGGTGTTATTTTCCAATTTATATGATTGAGAGTTTAAATAACAAATTATGTATTCAATTTTTGTCATTTTAAAATTTCTTAATAATCTTAAATTTCTTCATCTAAATATAGTGTAAGTATTTATCTGAATAAAAAAGTGATTGCTCTTAATTAACTGAACTATGATACTTATTGCGGTTTCATGTTTCTATTCTCACTTGGAAGGTTTATAGAAGTGGCTTATGGTAACCCACTAATCTATAAAAGCCCATTTACACTTGGATTAAGAATGATCGAGTTGGACCAGATCGGCCGGACCCAGCCCATTTGGCCACCGTATTATTTCAACCCATATCTAGTTCGGATCTTGAAACTTGAATTCACACCATCCAGCTGCCCATCGCTGATCAGTCTTCCAACAAAACCCATGGATCCTCAACATGGATGCAGGCCATGGAGGCCATGCTTGCTTCACCATCCCCACCACCACCTCCACCACCATCACCACCGCCACCCTTTATTCCTCTGCCCTCTCCATCACCACCTACACTGCCGCCACCATAACCACCACTTGCACCATCTCCGCCCCAATTTTGCGTCTTTTCCTCAAAACCCAGAACCCCCAGCTGCCGCCGCCATTCCTTTCCCAACCCATATGAATTCGGAACCTTCTGAGTTCAAAGAAGCGCACTACGACGATCCTACCTCTCTGTAAGTAGCTTCAGCTTCTTTGCTTCAAGGTCTAAGTATGGTTTTGGCCCCTCTAGTTCTATTTAATTGCTGCAATTCTTAGAGAATAGCTTAATTCCGCCATTTATTTTTCTTCAATGGAATTAACAATGTGAGATGAATGCATCTGGCGTTTTTACACCTCAAGAAACTCCAATTTAGGTCCACACGTGCCGGATGCAAGCAATTGTCCTCGATTCGGCAATTCAAGATTTGGTTTCTGATCATTTTGTTAACAGGACATTGCCGGAGCAGACGCATGGTGAAATCGGTGATGGTGTGTTGGAAGAGGAAGAGGATGATGAACCGATTTTCGTCTTAACAGACGAGTGGAAGGAGTTTTTTGCAAAATCTGAAGCTAAGAGGAAACTAGGTACTCTTTTCTCAGTCTCTCTGTTCTCTACTCTTTCACTTCACCTGAGGAAAATTATTGTTCTTGTGCGCGGAGATCACTTCCCTTGCATCTCTTGCATCTCGAGAACATTGACTTGTATAATATCATTGTGTGCTTGGTGTATGTAATAACAGAGAAGCAGCAGGCCAAGAAGAAGAAGGCAAAAGATAAACAGAGTCAAGAGTGAAATCATAAGTTTCCTTTGTCTACGAGTCTCTGACTTGTAAGTGGCGATTTTTTTTCTTTTTTTTTTTGAAATATTGGCAACGATGAAATGTTGAAGTAATTTTTGTAGAAAAATGTAGCAATTATGCCAGAGAAAACCCTAATGTGACTCCAATGTTCATCGAAAGGAAGCTTTCTGATATATATGACACTATTGTTCTCCCAGAAGGTTACCGTTGATAGAGTTCTTCGTACATTGACCGGCTGTGCTAGCGGGAAGGCTTGTCCGGCCATCTATGGTTTGTAGGCTAGCTTGTTGAGTGCAGCATTAAACCTTTCCTCCGGGATCATGCGGTGGTTTTCGTAGAAATCTAATATCTCCATTGATATGTTTTTCACCTGTCAAAATATGCGTTACAATTAATTCCCAGCGTACGAACAGAAAGAGAGCACGCTACACTTTTTTGTTATTACCAACTCTAGACTACGATGATATGCTAAATGCAGATGCAACAACTCTATTTGGTCAGAGAAACCTGATTTATAAACCGATCCCTCGAGCGTAAGAGATATGCTAAATGCAATCAAACGATGAACCCAATTAGGGTTGCGCCTTAAACAGATCAAGGGTCTTTTTTCTCTTTTTATGCATAATCATAAGGAAACGATGCAGAAACATCCGGAAGACTCACCACATTCATGTCCACACGAAGCTCTTCAAATCATGCTGTGGTATCTTTATCTCTGAGTACGCTAGCGATGCATATGCAAGCTAAAGCAATCAGGTGTGGAGGATGTACAAGTGCAAGGTCCATCTTGTGCGTGTCATTTACAACTCCCCTGTATATAAAAAATGTCAAGGTTACCTCACGTTTAAGTTCTACAGAGTGCGACGCTTATCAGAAACACCAAAGAGGCATTTCTATATGAAAACCCCTCGACAACAAGCGGAGCCCTAAAGAAACAGCCCCCAAATAACAAGGCTACGGGTTGTGGGTTTCTGGAGATGATGTATAGAATATGTATCACAGCGTTTGAAAACAAGACGCTTGGTGATTGGACTCTTACCAAGTTAACTGAGTCATACTTGTATCGTTTAAGCCTGCATCTTGAAGCAACCTGGAAAGAAATGGAGTGAAACGGTTTTAAGTAATAATCGAGGGAAATTAAAGAGAAAATTACTGTAGTTAGAGCGTTATCAAGGTGGGAACTAAGCACTAGCAGGTAAAGAGAGATTCATCTTTGCAAGCATCCGCTCATCAAAACTGACAGAAAAAGTACGTACTGAGACAACGAACGATAAGGATGGTATACAACCAGATAATAGTTGAGAGCTTCTAAAATCTTCATTTCCATTTCAAGTATGTCTTTGACCTCATATCTATACTTATCATCTAAATCTGTAAAAGAAATGTGGCAGATTGCCGTCAGTGCTTCAATATAAATAGAACGACAAGTAAATCATAACAAAAATTGGAGAAAGGCATCTATTATTTCCAGGAACAATTACTTACAAATCTTTTTTTATATAAAATACTAGAAGTTTAGCTTGCCTTGTGCTTTCTTCCGCTTTAGATGCCAGGCACAGGCAGGTTGGAGCTACGAGACGTGGATCATACATACTCTTCCTGAAGCAATAATGAAACGTTATGCTTGGAAAGAAAAATCACAACTAAAATTCAAAGTGCTGCGATGATAAATTACTAAACGGCAAGACCAAAGAAAGGAATGCCAACAATAACTGTGCAGTGAATTGAGACAAAATTGCGTTGTGAACCCAGAATACAACAATCAGAACAATGCAATCCGTACAATAAAGATTGAACACCCATACGCATGCATACATGGCACTGAACTTTTGGGGGGAATTAAGTACTACAAAGTTGATAAGTTCAGACACTCATCTAAACAACATCTGATAAATAAGTGGGGTGAACAATATGCAGATGAAAACAAACAAACAACAGGCACGTTCAATCATGATTGACAATCAATGAGTCGAGGATATGCGTAGGTTAGCTTAGCTATTGAGATAAATCAGTTCAGAGACAGAAAAAAAAAACGTAGCTTAGCTAAAGAAATTATTAACTTGACAGATATGAACTCAGTTATGAAAGGAAGGATTTGGGGGTTAAGTTTAACAGCCTCAGGACTATCAAAAGAGAACAACCACAAATAAGCAATAAGCCATGAACTTATGGCTAGTGACTGAGCATTTCTCGTACAATATGACAATTAGTTAACGTACTTGGTGTACACACGTCTCATATATGTAACTGCGGTAGCTACAACCCTGAAACCAGTAAATAGGAAATCAGATAGATAGGCAGAAGTGAATTAAGGATTTTCCAGAACATAAGCAGATGAGGAAATTAGCCCGACCTTTGTCTCACTTTTACAAGTTGTGCCAATCTTGATATATCTGAAAGAAAGGAAAAGGGAAAAGAACAAAAAACGATTAATTTACAGTAAAGCAGATATGAAAAACATAGTGATCAGCAGTATTATGCACGTGCATTTGAGCAACATCCATTAATCTTGTATCAGAAGCTCTATTCCTAAGAGTTCAATTACGTGAAAATAATAACAATATGGTATAAGGATACAAAAAAAGCATCACTTCAACAAAGAAGATGCCCAAACCAACTTTATAAGATGGTAAGTAGCCAAGAACCATATGACAACTTCTAGGGGAAATGATCATTTAGCAGAGAACCAACTCACACAACCGCATGACAGAACAACAATTTGTTTCTTCTGTCGTTTCGATCCAGTGAAAAGGCTCCAAAGGTTACATTTCATCATTTAGGAATTCTTGATAATCCTGCTAAAAGTTACAATTCTTTCTGTGCATTAACCCAAACAATAATCCGCAATCAAGCACGTTCGGTAATGCATAGTACCATTCGCTGAATTGTTATATCATGATCAAACAAGAATCTGTACATCCATCCCAACACTCTGATTAACTACAGCTGAACTATCAAATTTTAGTTCTTTTGTATCGATTAGCATGCGAAATTCAATGCAGCTGCCGACTCATACCTAATGAAGTTCTTAAATGCAAGGGCATAAGAAGCTCAATCGAAACCAAGAAAGTTCAACAAAAACGTAACAATTCAGCATCCACCACAGATATAATCAACAAATAACAAAAACCCACGTTGGAAAACACATTTAAACCTACGAAAATCGAAACAAACAACAAAATCAGAAACATGGGAAACAATTTCGGGATCGAAAGGAGCATACTAGTGGGACGAAGTCCAGAAATTGGCAGCCATGTTTTCTTTCCTGGCAGATTTCAAGTCTGAGTTCCCCCAACTGTCAATTATTCCGCCGTTGAGAACTTCAGATTCTGTTTTCCGGGAAGTTGAAATTGGACTTTGGATTGAGCCCATTTCGTTGACCGGGCCTTGCACCCCATCTCTTTGAATCCAATTCAACCAAAGCGGTCCAACCCAACTAGGAGAAAAAAACAAATGATAATCTACCGACAGAGTTTCACCCTGAGCATAGCGCCCTGCACATGAGCCGACCAAAACCCCTCTCATCCACTCGTTTTAAAGCTGTAAAAATGAAGCTGGAATTGTTATGGGACATTGTAATGGGATTTTTTTTGCTGGGGATGTCTTTTCACGGCTGTTAGTCCGTGTCTTCGGTTAGATTCTCCTCCAATGTTTACTGTTGATGCGCTCCTAGTGGTTGTCTTTTCATTCTAATGGACTGAGCATGTGCTCCTCTTTGTAATGTTTTTTCCTCCATGAAATGAAAATCGATCGTCTTAAAATGAAGCTAGAATTTGATTGTGCGTGTTTTCTTTTAAAAATGGACCAGCTGGTGGATTTGTTGCAACAGTCCACAATTTTAAGAGCTAAGAAGATTCACAAAAGCATTTTAACTTCCTTGGCGCGATACACCATTGAGCCTTCCAATTTGGGTTTAAATTTTCATGTCATGGCTTGACTATGGAATATATTTTCCATGTTACTATTGAATTGTTACGTGCTGTAAATTCACTAATGTTATGATGTGTATTAGTGTTATAATGTGTATATTTTTTTTTCTTCGTAATACACCATAGGTTTGAAAGATCAAAGTTGCCATGTGTCAGGATGTCGCGACATTAATGTAAATGTTGCACCCACCTTCATGGACAGACATGAAAGCTCATGGGAACATATACTCTCACTCAAGTCATTCGTTTGTTAAATTGCATATTATAGTTATATAAATATACATGTGTTATTTTTTGAAGAAAATATATGTATATAATATCTAATATACATTCATACCTTATACTCCATATCATATATTATGGGATGTGCTATCCACACACCCATTTTTACTTCTCGCACACCCCTTGTTAATTTATGTCCGTTGATCTTCTTCAATTCATCCGATAAGACGGCCGAAAACTAAAAAGGTGTGAGAGAAGTAAAAAGGGGTGTGTGGATATCACACCCCTATATTATATGTGTAAAAGTGCTCTTGTTTTGTTATTCAAACTGAAAAACCCCTTTCCTGCGTATCATGTATTAATATTTTTCTCATCACTTTGTCACTTTCCACTACTACACTTGTTGATGCACAAAACTGGAGGGGTCTTGGAACAACGTAAATCCGACCGTGAATCTGCAAGAAAGTAAAGAACACAAGATGTATCGTGGTTCACCCCAATGTTTGGGCTACGTCCACACTGATATTGTATTTCTCTGTTTGTGAGAGGATTGTGAGGGAGAGAGAGCTTGAGGTTTGTGAGGGTGAGGAGGCCCTTTTATGGAATAAGAACTCCTCGCTTATTACATATTAGCCCCTTCATTTATTACATAATTACATTTGAGTCCCCCGATTATTTATACAAGATCTAAATACGGAGGCCCTAAGTATGGTACAAACAACACTAAAATTTTTGTAACATTGAAATTGTAATACATTATCATTCAAAATGGTCCCTATTATCGTTTGGGTATAAGACATACTATAATAAATTTTTCTTAGTTATTTTTCGATTGCCCTCACTGGAAAAAATTACTAACTCCATCCCTACCCACCTTCTTCAAAGTATTGTCATTGTATTAGTTTTCACGTAATAATTCTTTTTTTTTTTGTGGTGTGGTTCATTGTATCAGTTTCCACGTGATAATTACTTTTTTGGGTGGTGGTGGTGGGGGTTTTTTGGGGAGACAAGGATTGTCTGCCTTTCTACTTCTGATGCCCTCTCGTACCCTCCTATTTGTGTGGTCACGGTTAAGGCACGTCAACATTTTATATTAGTATTCATTTTTGTTTGATTATATAAAAAAAACCAATATAAAATATTAAAATGGTTTAACCGTAACAACACAAAACATAAGGGTAAAGAAAGGCACCAGAAGTGGAAGAGCAGACAATCCTTATCCTTTTTGGGGTGGGGGGCCTTCATCGGAGTATTGTCATTGTATCAGTTTCCAAGTAACAATTCCTGTTTTTTGGTGGTGGGAGTGTTTTGGTTTGGGGTGGGGGACCGCGGCAAAGCCTAACAAATCCAATCATGCATAAATATGTGGTCAATAATTTGGAACATATAACATCAGTCCCCCTTTTCTCCCACGTTGATCGTACTTGTACATATCCGCACGTCCTTGGTTTGCCAAACCAGTGAGGCTGAATAGGGATGGAGTTAGGTTTAAGTTACGTAAGCGGTCGATTGGGGTCGAACTTAAGTTAAAAAGAGATACTCTCACCGGAACACCTGTGGATGAGTTTCGTTTGCTTTCACTATTAATGTTAAATCTATATTTCTAAAAGCAAAACACATTAGGGTTCTTGGAATGTAATTTAAAAAAATACGGTCGGCCGGGCTGGGGCACTGTGAAACATTTACATGAATATAGTGCTTCATATGTAAAGGTAAACTCTGGCAGTTGAAATGAGAAAGAATCATTGGAAGGAAAAAAATAATAATAATAACAACAAAGAATGTTGTACACTAGTTTTCGTTAGGGATGGTAGTTTTAAACACGATATCTTAACATGACTTGAAATCCTCATACAATGGGTGGTGCTGTCCACGTCACTTTTTACCTCTCAAATCTTTTTTAATTTATTATTGTTGGATTGAATTAATTAAAGTAAATTTAAAAATAAAAATTAACAAAAAATGTGAAAAAGATGAAAATAAATTCATGTATAGCATTACCTTAAATATAAAACCTGACTCGAAGCTAGCGTTACTCACGAGCTTTGGATTCATGCATGTGTCATATCATTCAACTAGCTACATTTCTTTTTTCGTAGGTAAGTGTCTATTGGACCTTTGTGCGAGGTTCATTTTCCTTCAATTTTGTATGTCCATTTGAAAAGTCAAATGAATGATCTATCAACCACCTGTCAGCTATATCCTACACACAATCTTACCACCTGTCAGCTCTCTTTCGCAACACCAGTCTTCTTGGAAAAAAATATTGTGGTTCATATATTAAAAAATATGGCAGTTGGATTAAGAAAGAATCATTAGAAGAAAAAAGTTAATAACGATAAAGAATGTTGTACGCTAGTTTTCGATAGGAGTGGTAGTTTCAAACACCCTTCTTAATTTAGGGTTTTCATGAATAAGAGAATATCAGATAAAAAATAATAAAAATTATATGAGAAGTGAAAATATGTTTGTGTATAACATTACCTTAAATATAAGGTTTAAATCGAAGCTAGCACCACTCATGATCTTTCGATTCATACGTGTGTCATATCGTTCGACTAGGTACAACATGTTGGGGCTAATAATTAATTATACTTATTTGTCTCTGAAATTAAAAGTTTGCAGCGTGACAAGCATAAAAAACTAGAAAAAACGTGAGGATAATGCATATTGATGAGTAGGGAGTAAACGCAAAAATATAAATAAAAGAGTTTACGCTACTTTTATGTGAAAGGTTATAGTTTGATTTTCGTCAAATGCGAATTTAAATCACAATATTGCTAGCTTATTGGTGAGGCTTAGCTAGTTCCCCACCACCTTAGTATAGATACTATGGTTTATTTAAAAAATAATAAATAAATAAATAAAAGAGATAGGCCATGTAACTCTTGTTTCTTAAACTTAAACTCATATCTTTAAACATCCAAATAAAACTCAAAATTAAAATTTGTTAACTTGTGGGAAATAAGTAATCTATTATTATAAATTATCTAAAATACCCTAATTATTTTAATTAATATCTCTACTAATTAATAAAATACTCATTGTCAACCAAAACTCTATGAAATTACCAGTTTAACCCTCTAATTAAAACAGAACATAAATAAGAAATATGGGGCATAAAGGTAATTTCACACAACCAAATTTTGCTGTTTTTTTTTTCAAACTTTCACCTACATGTAATCCTAACATATCTCTAATTAAAAAAATAAATTAAAAATAAATAAATAAATAAAAACTTCCTACTTCCACATTCTCTATCACTCTCTTCCTCTCTCCTTCTATTTCAAAAACAAAAATAAATTTTTTTTCTCACAAATTGTGTGTGGGCGTTTAAATTAAAGAATCTTATTGTTACAAAAAATAATGATGAATTTCGTTAAGTATTAACATGCATAATTTCAAAAAAATAAAATAAAATAAAATAAATCCTTCCCGTGAAATCATTATTTCCATCTAGCCTTCTTTTTAAAGCAATCTAACATTTTAAAATTCAAATAGTAATGCACTATTTGCGGGAGTGAAAAACTGTGTTATTTCAAGAGTTAACTATACAATTATAAATATATGATATGCAAATGTTTACCTATATAAATTATTTGCATGTATTATTATTTTATGTGCAAATAATTGACTTATAGTTTTGTGTAAAATATAAAATTATTTTGAATCAAATAACATTTTATTATTTTTTACGTAAATCATTCATGAAACACATGTGTGGATTTCAATTGCCAAGCACGATATTTGTACGAAACTCAATTTCCTTCAATTTTGTCTGTCCATTTGAACAGTCAAATGAATGACCTTCCTCAATCCTATAAATACACATCCCAAAATCTACCATATCCTACACACAATCTTACCACCATTCAGCTCTCTCTCACCACCATGGATTCGATCATTTCTCCATTCCAAATCATTCATACAATTTTAGCTTCTCTAATTCTCTATGGTGTCTTGAGGATCATAGCAATAGCAAACACTAAGAAGAACACCATCAACAAAAATACCACGTTGCCTAAAGTCCCTCAACCCTCGGGAGCATGGCGCTTCGTAGGTCACCTCCCTCTGCTACGTGGCGAAAACCCAGTTGCACTTATCCTCGGAGCCATGGCTGATCAACACGGACCCATCTACTCACTCAAGCTTGGCCAGCACGAACTGCTTCTTCTCAGCGCATGGGAACAAGTCCAAGAATTGTTCACAAAAAACGACAGAGTTTTCGCCACACGACCGAGTACAGCCGGCGGCAAGTACTTGGGTTACGACAATGCCATTTTCTCCCTCGCACCGTACGGAAGCTACTGGCGCGACGTTCGGAAACTTGCCACCCTGGAGCTTCTCTCGAGCCAAAGAGTTAAAACCCTAAGCCACATCAGAGCCTCAGAAGTCGGTTCCTTCATCAAAACTTTGCACTTACTTTGCACAAAGGATAATGTGGGTCCAAGTTCCACGTCATCGTCATCAGTGCATATGACTGAGTTATTAGAGCACTTGACGTTCAACATAAACGTGAAGTTGATCGCCGGGAAAAGATTCACGGC